TCCCCAAAGATGACCTTCAGCTCTCCTACGTGAATAAAGCCATGGATGATCTTACCAATCGTGAATTCATGTGGGGGGTTTGGAACTGTGAAACTAAGTTTTGCCGAGCCTTACGTGAAACTCTTGACTTTCTGAGTGATCACCAGATTTGGCTGACAGGGCTCCGAATGTTCCATCTCGATATGCAAAAGATGGATTAGCCACGGACTGATACGGGCGGGGCAGGCTGCACTTGGAGGACAGGCGTCAAGCATTCAATAATTTTTAGTTATTAGTTTTGAATTCTGATCTTGGTTAGGAGCAGACGATGATCGTCCTTGGCCCAATCTGGGAGCCACAACTTGGACTGGCAGTTCTCTGTCTCTGTCTTGTTCACAAAGAAGACGGATGGGCGGGATCTGCGGCCCATGAATTACACAGGCCGTTTAGTCTTCTCTGCGGATGTGGAGCCCAGCAAAACGCACTTCTGGAGCTGCAACTTGCGAAAAGACCAGTTCGTGACCTGTGAGCAATCCTGCTCAAAGACCACGCGAGAGGTCGAGAATATGTCTGAGGATGCCTTGCCAGCCACCACCGATGACAGAATGGCATCCACCGGCGCCAGCAAGTACTGGCAGATTGGGCCCTCTGCGTGCCATTCTGACTGGACAGGCCAGCACACCAGCTACGCTCGTGATTGATCTCTTCACGAGGACGGGGGAATTCGCGGAAGCTTTTCTGAAGCAGCGGAAGAACCGGTCCCACACCTTCTTCCTCGGGTTCTGTGAAAGCCAGACAGAGGCGACCTATGTGGAGACCGTGCTTCGCAGCACGTTGGCAGAGGGCTACCTTGCAGGTGGACCAATGCCTGCTGGCGATTCCATTCCTTGCAAAGTGCCCGAGGACATCTTAGAGGCCATCCCAGCAACGCCTGCCATGAACCTGCTCGTTGCTGAACTTAATTACTGTTTCAAGTAAGTACCCTAAGTAATCTTATTGATGTCATGCCTTCGCCAGGTTACTAAGGACGAGAAGCTCTACTCGCCTGTGGCCCTGGTCAAGGAATGGCAGAGTCACCCGCTTGCGAAGGACTTCCAGCTGTGGCTTGACGAGTTCCTGGCAGCAGGCTACGAGATCGTGGATCCAAATCAGACTCCGGCCGAGGAGACCAAGGACGACGTCCAGGGCCAGACTCAGAATAAGCGCAAGAGAGAAGGTGAATCGGCGGCGACCGGCACCAAGAAGATCAAAATTGATGCCGGGCCTGTCCTCGATTCCGACAAGATCAGTGGCGCCATCCTCTTCGAGGTCAAAGTGACCCTTTTCAAGGACATCTACGCGAACCTGCAGATTCGTGCCCAGTCCGAAGTCTGGCTGGTGAATAAAGGCCCTAAACCCTAAACCCTAAACCCTAAACCCTAAACCCTACAATGGATGCCAGGTGGCCGGCTATGGCCGCGGCACTTTCAAGCTCTTGAAGCAATCTGAAGAAAAGGATGACTCTGCTCGCCTTCTTGAGTTTCAGCTCTCCTCGCACGAGGATTTCGTCTTCGTGAACAATCAGATGACTACTGTGGGCCAAGCCGTCGC